AATGACCGATTCATCACTTCAATCACTTTCAACAAAGTGCTTAGAGCAAACACGATCAAATTTAACATTAAAATTATCCTGGCGTTTACACAAATGTTTCCAAACAGCTTGCATTTCCTTGTCTTTTGGAAAGCTATGAAATGCTGTACCGGGTACAAAACTCTTGCACATATTGTCAACGGCACAACCATACACTGCACACCTCATATCGGGAAAAATTTAAAGCCTTGTAACATTTTAAAAATATTATTTTATTAAATATTGGCTATGAACCGTAAATGTACATAAACGTCAAAACACAATATGGCGAAATTTAGCACAAGTTGACGTCACAAAAGTCGTGCATAAACCACGCCCACATGCGCGGTATCTTATCTGTTTGTATTTGTATTTTGACCCAGGAGCTCTGTTAGATTTTGAGTTATTCATAGCATGTTGGACTTCAGATTTTAATATTATTGGAGATTCCTCGTTATCAATTTGCGTGGGTTCCATTCTTGTGTCTATGAAAAGATCTTCAATATATTTAGTTCATACTTGTTTTATTTCAATTGGATTATTAATAGGTTTATTGTTTTTGTCAATTAATCGGTTAGGTGTAATTTTTCGAGATTTTCCAGATAATTCTTTCATGATCATGATCATGCTTTTTCTACAATTCTTCCACTTCGATGCATGTTTCCATTATCCACTTTTCCTTAGCCTCTTTTATTTTGTTCCTTACTAATTTCTCTTTTTCTCTGTACTTATTTGGGTTTTTGTTTCTATATTTTCTTCATTGTTCCATGATTTCCAGTATTTCTTGAGTAATCCAAGGTTTCGGCTTTCTGTTATCTTTTGTAGAGTTTCTTTCTGTGTTTTTATAACAGAATCTTTAATTTCGCTCCACATAATGTTCACATTCTCAGTGTTTTTCATTTCTGATGTTAATTTCTTCATTTCTTGATTGATACAAGTTAAAGCCTCAGTATGGATTTCATTTATCTTGAGTAACTGAGTATTCACCTTAAAACTTTTGGATTCTAATATCTTTTTTTACGCTCAGCTTCATTTTTGAGACAAGGAGGTTATGGTCTGAAGGGACATCTGCTCCAGGAAAACTTTTAACGCGTTAATGGAATTTCTAAATCTTAGATTAGAATAAAATCGATCTGATTTCTAATGCAATTTTGTTTATTATCCTGTGGTGACCTCTAAGTATACAGTCTACGGGGTAGTAATCGAAACTATGTTTTCATAATCGCCAGGTTTCCTTCTTGACAAAATTGAGACAATCTGTCGCCTCTAGTATTCCTTATTCCTAAATCATAATCACCTATTATATTATCGCCTCGGCTTTTTCCTATCTTTGCATTTAAATCACCCATTATTATAGTAATTTCTTCCTTTCTTGTGTATTGTAGAAATTGTTTGAGTTGTTCATAAAAATGTTCTATTTCAGCTTCTGCTTTATCTGCAGTTGAAACATATACTTGTACTACATTAATGTTCACTGGCTTACCGAGTATTTGTAATAATAGCATTCTATCCGAAAAGGCAACAAAATTTACAAAGGCTGCTTGGATTCTGTCATTTCCGGAGTAGTATATCGTTTTATCCATGACCAATGTTTTACCGGAACCAGGCCAGCGTATTTCGCTTATGCCTAATATTTCTAGGTTCAGTCTGTTCATTTCCTAAATTATGTTGCGCGTCTTTCCTTGTTCGAAAAAACTCCTCACATTCCATGTCCCGAAATTTAAAAAGGATTTGTTCTGTATATAGTTAGTTGCCACATTCGGGTGACTTCGGGTAGTCCGCCGTGGACTAGGGGCCATGTAATTGACCGTACTTTGCATGGTTATCGTTCTAGAGAAATCTGACGATCTTTAATGTGGGGGTTTCCCGTTGCATTTTACATCCTTATACCGTTAACCGCTAATAGGTTCATCCGCCTTTGGAGCCAATTTCTCAATCCCAGGACAAAAAAGTGCCCTACCACTTACCAGCTCATCCGCCCAAAGCCGTTGGTCAGTTAGGGGGACTGCTTATACCGGCAATCACTCGGTGAATGAGAAATTAGGAGAAAGAGATAAAGTGACCCGTCTGCATTCGGAAACCTAATAGCTATTCGGGGTCGAAAGATACAAGAGTTAGCCAAGAGAGGCTGATAGAAAAGATTAAAGACATTTTCCTCATGACAAGTTGATAAAAATAATGTGAAGGCCCTTAAGCGGTCTTCGTATGAGTATTAATACACTTTGTGTTCCCGCTCATACCTCGGGGTGTTGACTACAGACTGTATGGCTCGTCCTGCATGCCATAGCATGGAGCAGCGATTCTCAAACTTTTTTTTACACGTACCACTTACATAAATTCTGCGTCAATCGCGTACCACCTATTAAAAAAGTAGATAATAAAATTTACTAATTTTGGCAAAAATGTATTTATTTAAAAAGGGCATTATAAATGTTACAAAATAAAACTTACAGTCTGACCCAATCCAAAAATTCAGTGAGAAGGATAGTTCTGCATAGCTACAACAAGTGAATCGATATCAGGATCAATTGTGCTTAGTTTCATTTTCAGTTTTAGCATAGCAGAAAATCCAGTTTCACACAGGTAGGTTGTCGTAAAAGGAAGTAAAAATAACAATGCTTTTTCTGATAAGGCTGGATATTCATTTTTAATATTTAGCCAGAATTCAGCTAATTCTAATTTAGAAAACTCTATTTTCAAGCCTCCATCACAAGATAGTTCTATTAAAGATTCTTTTTCATCCTGATTTAATGATTCAGGAATGCTATCCAAAATAAATGGTTGTCGTATCCAAAGAAACTGAGCATAGTCTTCGTCAAAATATTCTTTAAAACTATCAATTAGCGTTTGACAATGCTGTTTTATGTTAAAAATAAGATCATCTTTAATCTTTATTTCATGTTCAACCACAAAATTTTCTAAATTGGTAAATGACTGCAAGTCTTTGTTTGAAACACTATTTTCATCATATAACATTTCTTGATAAAAGCATTTATTTTGTCGTTTACAGAAAATCGATTATGTGATTTACCTTGTAAGCTTAAGTTTAGGTCATTTAATCGATTAAATATATCTGTTAAGTAAGCTAGTGTTGTAAGCCACAATTCATCTAATAACCGATCACGCAGTTCAAAATTGGTTTCCATTAAAAACACATGTACTTCAGAACGCAACTTGAATAACCTGTTCAACATTTTTCCTTTTGATAGCCATCTTATCTCCGTGTATCTCCTAGCTTCATGGAGAACATGTTTAAATTCATCGGGCATTCGCTTTGCTACCAAAGCTTCTTTGTGGATACTACAATGGGTAAAAGTACAATTTTCTGCAACCAGTTTTACTTTGGCAGTTACACCTCCGTATTTTCCTGTCATGGCTCGGGCACCATCCGAACAGAAACCAACGCATTGTTTCCAGTCTAGTCCATTTTCCACAAAAAAATCATTGATTTTCTTGAATATTTCATCGGCAGTAGTTCGTTCCGTTAACGCCTCACAAAATAAGTACTCTTCTTCGATTTTGGTTTGAAATATATACCGCACATAAACCATAAGCTGAGCATAGTTTGTAATATCTGTGCTCTCATCAAGTGGTATTCCAAAAAAATACTATTTTTTATCCGGTTTATCAATTTCTCTTTAACATTTAATGCCATTATTTCAATCCTACGACGTACGGTATCATTGGATAATGGTATAATACTAAGCTGTTTACCTGAATTCTCTCCAAAAATACACGTTACCATATCTTGTGCGGCAGGCAGAACTAGTTCTTCGCCGATTGTATGCGCTTTTCCACACTTCGCAATTCTTAAACTCACGAGGAAGGATGCCTCTACTGCTTTTTGGTTGCTGCCGGTGAAATTCGACATTAATTTTTTTGTGCCTCTCATCTCCGTTAACTTCCGAACGAAGTAATCCTTAGGTTTATTTTCCAACACTGAATGTTTTGTACTGAAGTGGCGTTTTAATAGCGAAGGTTTCATACACTGGTTAGAAAGAATTTCCGAACAGATTACACATTGGGGCCTTGGCTCATCATTTATATTCATGAATGTAAATCCCATATTAATGTATTCAGGATCATATTTCCTAACCACCACTTTTAGTTTTTTGAAATAATTCTTTTTGTCATCACCCTGGATAGGCTCCGACTCTGAAGTGGAGCTCGATAGACCGGGATTTTCAGATGTTCTGTTGTCTCTTTTAAGCCACTTATCCTTTTTTTACATGCAAAAATTTGCACGAATCAGTAACAGCAAATTACTCGTTTCGACAAAATTAACCACAACGACTGACGGCCACGAGGAAACTAATGACCACTGATGACGTGAATCAAGGGCACAGCATAGGAAACAAATTTGTTTCCTATGCTGTGTCAAGGGCGGTGGCAGTTTGCCGGGATTCCAGTGTTGCCAACAATAAATAAGACATTACTCGCTTGTGTTTCCAACTCGCAGAGTTGCCATGCACCACGTAAAAGATAACATTCGTTGATAAATTTGATTAAAATTCTTCGTTTCTTCTAGTTTATAGAGTACCACCTTAAAGTTCTTTGCGTACCACCAGTGGTACGCGTACCACAGTTTGAGTACGGCTGGCATGGAGTGTAGTGTGCACGTAGACACCCAACTCCATGGCCTGACCAATCAGTAATGAGAATAACATCATATATTTTTTACCGTTTTGATTTCGAATCCGGAAATCTTTATCGAAAAATTATAAATTAATGTAATATTCCATTAGAGATTGAAACGTCAAAGCAAATATAAAACGTAATTTTCATTGCAATCAATTATTGTGATTTAATCCCAAATAAAAGAATATTTAACTTAAACATACCACAAGAAAACAGTTTAAGAATCGTTTCTGCGTTTATTTCATCGGTTTAATAGAAATTGAATCATTACTGATTGGAATGCTTAGACGAATATACTCATCTTATCTCGTTTGTTTGTTTTTACCTGCAATAGATAGTTTTATCTCTTGATACAGGTCTGAATAACACATATTTACCCAACATTAAAACAGATAAGATAAATTTTTGCTACAGAAAAACGGATCCAATATAGATTTTTGTAATTATAACAAAAAGAGTAATCAATGTTAGTAGTGTACCAGTTTTTATTGATGTAGTACTTTTATAAACAAAAAAGGATTACAGTGAAGTAACTCAGTTTTGAATTAATTGAAGTAAGTATACCTATATTTGTTTTGTGGTTCCATTAATTACGTTCTATTTTCAATATTACCTATTGAGATCTTAATAATGGGTCTTTATTTAAACGCTTTTTATATTTAATTAAAACGAAGTGTGTGTGAGATATCAGAATTTTTCTTAGTTTGAAAGGGCTCTTAGTGTCATTATGTATGGAATATAACATCGTTCAATGGTTACTGCGACCCTATTTAATAAATCAGGATAAATTTGTAGGTGATATCATGGGATATGTTGGTTTTGAGGGTTGCTGTGAAGCCTACAAAAATGTGTCAAACAGGGTCAAATTGCTCGATCTTGGTGGTTAGTTCACATCACCTCCACGTGTGTACCATGGCCTTAAATGACTAGTAAAGAATGTCCAATATGGTATGAGCCTTGTAATACATAGCTTTGTCCAGTTAAAACCGCATGCCTTTGATGTCGATATTATCCAAGGCAGGCCAATAGAAGTGGGCAATCATCGACCTATAGCGCTCGTCATTTTTGGTGATGACATGGTCAACGTTATTCTTATAGAAATATGTACTGATGACACCGCCAGACTAAAATCTTCACCAAATATGACTTTTTTGGGATGCCTTTAATGCTCTTTGATCACATCTGGATTGGTATCGTTTTAAATTGGACAATTTTGTGTGTTGACATACTTTTTTTTTACAAAAATGAGCCTCATCGCTGCAGATGAAAATTAGAGTCAGTTTCCAATAAACGTCATTCTCTAAATATGGTCGTTTATTGGGAATAGTTCTCTCGGTGGTACGATTATGGTGACCGTAAAATGGGCGCAGCTTGTGAAATGTTTTCCGAATAGAACAACATTCACACTATGACACCCACATTAACATTAAAGTATTCGGTAATTACCAGATGTTAAAAGAAAGCGTATTAATTGATTATAGAAAGCTTTTCTTTCATTCTCACCCAGTCCTGTTTGAGACTCATCACACACAACATTCAAAAATATTCTATCATTCGTTCTTACAACTTTCACCACGTTATCTTTTATTTTACTATCAGCAATTATACTAACTCCTTCTTAGTGTTACTTTTCCCTGCATACCACAATTTGTATCCTTCACCTAGTTCTTTCAACCTATGTCCTTTTCATTTACACTACGTTCATTTCCAAGATAAGCTCGACAACATACCTATCGGATTGTATGTCTTGGCGTGGCAGCTTGTCATTGGTTATTTTTCTTTTGATGTCTATTCGTTTCCAATATTGGCGATCATTTTGGCCATGATTATTTTATTAATTGATGCTTTAAACAGATTGGTTGTTGCTGTGGAGAACCATTTCCTCATGTTTTTTAACCCTGCCAATTCCTCGCTTTCCGAATACCATGCCTTGAAGGATTATTTTCAGTAATCTGTATTTAGTGCCGTTAGCTATTGTTTAGAAATTAATTTAATTAAGTATAGTCTCTTGAATGCATTACCTACAAGTAATTTGTACTCTTCTTCTTTTAAGCATATCAACTTACTCTTACCTGTAAGACTTCCAAAATTCCAAAACCATATTATAAATAATATATAATTTTATTTAGTTATCATAATAGTATTAATAGTTGCTACATAGTAGTATACTATAGTTATATTATTTATGATTACACAGTCATTTTTGCTTCTTTTTTTCCGATCTCTAACGTTTCCTTGAATCCAGTGAGAAGGTGATAAGAGTCGCAAAAAATACTTTCTAAGAACATTACTCATATAATTTTATGATAAAGATAAAAATAAATATTGTACAACCTATGTCCTGTCCCTTTTAATCTGCGTTGAATGTAACCGATTATAGATAAATTGATTAGGAATTATTATTTCATCGCCGTCACTAATTTTGACCTGTCCTTAGCTTTTAATATGCTTTATTCCATTTAGTACCAAGATTTATAATATAGTATGTATATTCTTTAATACTGTACATTAACTATACTTGTTAACTGCTCTGTCCTTTACATACTAAAGTGTGAAGCTTTTTGTTTTTCTTGATCTCCATTGTACATCTCCCTTTTAATATAAAATCTAAAATTCGTATAACCTTAAAACTTAAAATTTATACTTTATTGGATCCAAGAGTACATCATTAAGAACATATCTATTAGCCATTAGATTATTTATACGACCAAATGAAGGACAAGAACATTTAGTTGGATTTAAGCTTAAACAGTTTCGTTTCAACCGTAAACATATATTATTTACATCATCTTGCAAGAAATCTGTATCCGATTTAACATCTATAAAAAATAAGATCATCAGCAAATAGAAAGTGTTTTTGAGTTTTTGATAGCCTTACCAATATCGTTAATGAACAAGTTAAAAAACAAGGGACCACAATGAGACCCATGTGGGACACCAGAACAACAATGGAATTCTTTTGAAATATAATTGTTCATACGAACTTACTGTGTACGTCTCATCAGAAAAAAATTACTCCAACTAACAATGAAGTAACCAAAGCCAGATGCATGAAGTTTGTGGACAAAAAGGTTATGATTAACCTGGTAAAAGGCCTTTGAGAAAACACTGTAAGCGCTTCCGACTTGAATTTTATCCTCAAATGCACCCAACAAGTATTTTGGTAATTGACAAGGTTTATTACTGTTGACGTCCCGTTAAAAATTCCATGTTGTTCATCAATCATAATGTTTCTGCAAAACCAGATGAGATTTATCGATACCAATTTATCAAGAAGTTTCGGGATTGCTGATTGAATAGTTATACGGACCTCTATAATTGTTAACACACTCACGATTGCCAGATTTATAGATATATGTAAGAAAACTATTTTTCCAATATTGTGGAAATACAGATGATGAGAATGATAAATTGAAAATTTGTTGTTAAGGTATACAAACGGAAAAAATACAGTTCTTAATAAGTGCTACCGGTATACCGTCAGACCCTGAAGAATATGTAGTTTTTAAAGTTATAACCTCCTCGAAAACATCAGTCAGATTAAATTTCAGAACCTGGAAATCCACATTGTAGTCCAATTCAAAATTAGGTAAATTATACTCACTATCATTATTAATAAGTAATTTCATTCGATGTAACACCATTTCATTTCTCATTCAATCAACTCTACTTATCCGCAATACTCGTCCATAAATCCACATCTCAAAGGCCTCCAATTTTTTCATTAATGTCTCTGTAAGGGTCCAGCTCTCCATACCATACAGCAATGTGGAGAATATGTAGCAGCGTATTAATCTGATTTTAAGGTTTAATGTAATATTTCTATTAATTAGAATTTTCTTTAATTTATAGGTGGCTCTGGCTTTTTCAATGAGCATTCTTATTTCTTTATTTATATCACAGTTATCGTTAACGTTTGCACCCCAATAGCTAATATTGTGAAATCTTTCTAACTATATTCCATACGCTCTGATCTTCGGTGGTTGTAACTCCTTTTTGCTGACAACCATAAGTTTTGTCTTAGAAGTATTAAGTTTTAGCCTATATTCATCACATGCTTCGGTTACCCTTTTGTAAGTCGTTGCAGGTCTTCTTAATTGGAGGCAATAAGTACAGTGTCGTCGGCATATCTGAGATTGTTGACATTAATTCCGTTGATTTTAATGCCTGTATCTTCAACTAAGGCTTCTTTGAAAATAAATTTGGAGTAGATATTAAAAAGTAGAGGCGATAGAATACATCATTGCCTCACCCCACGTCGTATTTCTACTGCTTGCATCGTGTTGTGTCAAATTCTTAAGTTTGCACATTGATGTCAATACAAATTTTCGATAATACGGAGATCTCGGTCATCAATTCCCACCTGTTGCAAGGTACCTATAAGTTTGTCATGGTTTAGTCGGTGAAAGGCATTTTCGATAAAACACATATATACCGATTGTTCGTTATCCCTACATCTTTGAACCATGACCTGCAAACTGAAGAGTGCTTCTCTGGTTCCAAGGTTTTTTCTGAAACCAAATTGTGTTTCTCTTAGTTGTACTTCTATTTTGTTGTAAATTCTCGAGTGCAGTATTCTTAGGAAAATTTTCAGTACATGACTCATCAGACTGATAGTGCAATGATCGTTACACTGTTTGACATTTAGTTTTTTCGGTATCATTACAAATGTTGACAGTAGCCAGTCTGTTGGTATATGAACTGTTTCGTATATTTTATTGAAAAGGCTTAGAAGAGAATGTTTACCCTTATCGTCGAGTAGTTTGATTTTTTCCTTTGGAATTTCATCTGGACCGCTTGCTTTCCTATTCTTTGATAACTTTAAAGCTCTTTGCAATTGATTTATATGTTATTTCTTTCACCTTTTTTACCTTAATTGTGTCATTCTTTTGCTGCAGTTCTTCTATTTCAAGACATTTGTTGCTGTACCATTGTTCTTTTGCATCCCGGATTTTCCTTCTAATTTCTTTATCGATTTTATTATGTTCTTCAGTGCTTTTATTTTTCAGTTTGCGTCTAATTTTTATTAGTCCCAATATTTCATTAGTCATCCATTGTTGTTTGCGGTTATTACTAGTTTTATACTTTTTAGTTGTTGTTTCTTGCATAATGGTTTTAACATGATTCCAGTGGTCTTCGACATTATGTGTTTCTTCCGATTTTTCGAATTCTTTTCTATCTCATGTGTAATTTCATGACTAGTATCTCGAATACAGTCAATATTTATTCGGTTAGTCGGTTGTTGGGTTTTACTTTTTTAAATTTGAGTTTTATGTCCCTGATTAATAAGTTATGATCTGAGAGGACATCGGCTCCAGGCACGGTTTTAATTATTTTGATTGAATTTCGGTACCTTTAGGTAATTGTTATATAATCGATCTGATTTCTTATGATCTTCTTTTTAGTATCTGTGGGTGACTTCCAAGTATTTAAACGACGCTTGGGTAGTTTGAAGAATGTATTTGTCACACATAGATTGTTCTCTACGCAGAGTTCTGCAAAACGGTTTTCCCTGTCATTAACATGCACTAACATGCCTCCAAAAAGAGTGGGG